GGGAAATATCCTGTAAAAAGTTTGACTTGGTGTGTTGCTTTGTATGGATGCAAGACTTTGATCTTAAGGCAAGTGGAGTCTGACTTGCTAAATAGCTTTGAAATGTGGGTTTAGAGGAGAATGGAAAGGACCAGTAGAAGAGTGAACCAACAAAGAAATCTGCTGACCATAACTAGGAAAATCAGAGACTGAACAGGACATATTCTAACAGGAAACCATCTAGTAAGATGTGTCATGTAGAGACAATCTCAAGGATGAAGAGGAAGAGGGAGAAAGAGAATATCAATGCCAATTGATTTCAAATTGGACACGACAGAGAAATCTTTTTACAGCCACTAGAAGGCAGAAACCTGGGGTTAATATTACATCTGAAACACAGCATCTCACACAACAGAATGCCCATAGTACCGTGATGAACCGTGAATCAGAGTCATTCTTAGGCAGGTGTGGAATCTGAGGCAAATCGCACTGTGTGTGGTCCTTCATCCCCAGAAACTAAAAAGGTCACATGGTGCCACTCTCACCTATTCAAACGTCACCTTCATTCCGGCTTCCGGTTCCTCTCAGGTACCCATGGCCATTGCCCTGATATGTCCCACTTTAGGGATGTTTCTGACATCAGCTGATACACAGGCTGAAGTCTTTGCAGCGGGATTCGAACCAATCACATGAAACTACTGCTGAGCTAAACCTGTCTGCAGGGACACCATGTTCAAAGCTTTAAAAAAGGGGGGAAAACATACCCACATTACGCACAACCAAACACAGAAATTGCTGGAAAAGCTCAGCAGGTCTGGCAGCATCCGAGAAGAGAAATCAGACTTAATGTTTCAGGTCTGGGGGCCCTTCCTCAGAACTGATGGTAACTGGGAAAATGTCGGCTTATATGCAGAAGATAGGTTGGAGGGAGGGGGTAAGGAGTAAACGATAGGTTGGGGTAGAGCCCAAACAGACAGAAGAACAGTTGGACAGACAAAGGAGTGGATTATGATCTGGCTAGGAGAGCTAATACCTGTTAATGGAGACTGTTATTGCTAACAATAGGCAGTGTGTAATGGCAGGCTATGTGATAACAAGGCCTGGTGTGTGGGGTGGGGGTCTAAGAAATGGGAGAGTTCAGGCCCTAAAATTATTGAACTCAATACTGAGTCCGAGGGCTGCAGAGTCCCCAAGCAGAAGATTAGGTTTTGTTCTTCCAGCTTGAGCTGAGCTTCTCTGGAACACTGCAGCAAGCCAAAGACAGAGACGTTGGTCAGGGAACAGGGTGGTGTGTGAAAGTGGCAGGCAACTGGAAGCTCAGGGTCTTTTTTGTGAGCAGAATGTAGATGTTCTGCGAAGCAGTCACCCAATCTATGCTTCTTTCCCCAGTGTAGAGGAGACCACATCGTGAGCAGTGAATGTTGTAAGACTAGATTCTGGGAAGTGCAGGTGAAGTGCTGCTTCACCTGGAAGGTATCTTTGGGTCCTTGGATACTGAGGAGGGAGGAGGTAAATGGGCAGATTATACACCTTCAGCGGTTGCAAGGGAAGATCCCATGGGGCTGTGGAGGGTTGTTAGAAGTGAAGGAAGAGTAGGCCAGGGTGTCCCAGAGGGAATGGTCCCTGCACAAGGCAGACAGGGGGGAGGAGAATATGTGTCTGGTGGTGGCATCTCGCTGGAGATGGCGGAAATGGCGGCTGATAATCTTCTGGATGTGAATGCTGGTGGGATGGTAGGTAAGGACAAGGGGAACACTATCGCTGTTGCAGGAGGGAAGAGAGGGGGTGAGGGCAGAAGTGCAGGAGACGGCCTGGTTGAGGGCCCTGTCAACAGCGGTGCTGGTGAATCATCGGTTAAGGAAGAAGGTGGACATTTTGGAGGCTCCCTTGTTGAAGTTGGCCTCATTGCAACATATGTGATGGAGACTGAGGAAGTGGGAGAGTGGAATGGAGTGTTAACAGGAAACAGGGTGCGAGGATGTATAGTCCAGGTAGTCAGTGGGTTTATTGTGGATATTAGTGGCCAGTCTATCCCCAGAAATCGAAACGGAGATGTCGAGGAAGGGAAGAGAGGAATCAGAGATTGACCAAGTGAAATTGAAGGCAGGGTGGAAAGTGGAAGCGAAATTGCTGAACTTTTCCAATTCTGGATGAGAGAGGGAAGCAGCACCAATGGTATCATTGATATATCGAAGAAAGGGTTGTGGGTGGGGGCTGGAATAGGACTGGAACAACAAATGTTCCACATACCTAACGAAGAGACAGGCATAACTGGGGCCCATGCAGGTACCCATGGCCACCCCACTGACCTGAAGAAAATGAGGGGAGTTAAAAGAGAAGTTGTTGAGGGTGAGGTCGAGCTCAGCCAAGTGGAGGAGGGTGCTATCCAACTGGGCAGCATGGTGGCTCAGTGGTAAGGGGAGGCGAAGGCCAAGTGGTATTATCACTGGATTGTTAATCCAGAGACCCAGACAATATCTGGGGACCCAGGTTTGAATCCCGCCATGGCAGATGGTAGAATTTAAATTCAATAAAAATAACTCAAATTAAGAATCTAATGATGACCGTAAATCCATTGTCGATTGTCGGAAAAAACCCATCTGGTTCACTAATGTCCTTTAGGGAAGGCAACTGTCATCCTTGCCTGATCTGGCCTACATGTGGCTCCAGACCCACAACAATGTGGTTAACTCTTAACTGCCCTCTGGGCAATTAGGGATGGTCAATAAGCAACGCCCTCATCCCGTGAATGAATAAAGAGAAAAAGTACAGCTGCCTCACAGTGTCAGGGACCCGGATTCAATACCACTCTTGGGTGACTCTCTGTGTGAAGTTTGCACATTCTCCATGTCTGCGTGGGTTTCCTCTGGGTGCTCCTGTTACTTCCCACAGTCCAAAAATGTGCCATTAGGTGGATTGGCCAAGCTAAATTGTCCATAGAGTCCAGGGTGTGGATTCTCTGTGCCTCTGCAAGCTACCCTTGAAGTGGCTGCATTTGTGAAGAGTGTGGATTAGCCATGGTAATATTTGGGGTTACAGGCATAGGAAGAGGGGATGAGTGGGATGCTCTTTGGAGGGTCGGCATGAACTTGATGGATTGAATGGTCTCTTTCCACACTGTAGGGATTCTATGATTGCCCTCATTCTGATGGCTACCTTTGTTTGTGTCTACATCAAGCTGTGTATCAAATCAAATACCATGTGTCATAGTGCGTTGAGGTTCTAATGTTGCAGAGAAATGAATTTGGCCACTCCAGGTCATGGAAATATAGAAACAAGGAGCAGGAATTCACCATTTGGTTCTCGAATCCTGCTTTGCCATTCAAGATTATCATGACTGATCCTCTATCTTAATGCTATATTCCTGCTTTTTTTCCATACCTATCAATGTCTTTAAAATCTAAGAATGTATCTATCTCTTTCTTGAATATATTCAGTGTCTTAGCCTCCACCGCCTTCAATGGTACAGAATTCTGCAGGTTCACTATCCTTCCATAGGATCACTATTCAAATAGTTGGATCATATTGTATCTCCTGTCCTTCATGGAAATGTTGACAGAAAAATCCTTTTGATGACTAGTCCATTAGGCAGTGGTCAGCACCTAACATCTTAAGAGCTCCTGCAAAAAAAGGAGATACTTGATCCAGTCAGGTGGTTTCTCTGAGCAGACTATCAAAATAATTTGGCAGAATGCCTTACCACAAGGACTTTCAAACGAGTGCCAGGACATAGCTTGGCTGTTGGACATCTCAGTGAAAGGTGCACTTTGGTCTGTCCAACGATTTGCTGGTGTTCTACTGCAAAGAGTTGTTTCCAACTGAGTTTTGTAGACTGGCAAATTCTAATCTTCAGGAGGCCTGTGTGCTGAGGAATGCACTAAAGCTTGGGGCAGCCACCGCAAAGGCACAGTGGGGAAAAGCCCTATAGTCAATCAGCTTCTTGGTTTCTGAGAACTCCCAGTTTACAGGCGCCCTACGTTTACTGGTAAGGAGCTGCATTATCCAAAAAGAATCAACAGTTTCTTTCCAGTATCAAGGACAAGCATAATGAATATTTTATTTTCAAAAATTGAAATTAAAGATTTTCTTTTCTGTCAGTGCAGTGTTGATATGTTAGCCTCTTTTTGCAAAGGATGTTTTATTTACCAAGGTGCTGTAGAATCCCTCAGAAACATGAAAAAGGTCCTACAAAGTCAATGGCTGGGAACTTTGCTGATGTCATGGTCATATGAATGGCATTGTGAAGGCAAGAATTCATTTAAGAAGGAAAATTCATTTTTAAAAATTTTTGTATCCATGGAATTAAATGTTTAAGAACTGAAGTAATAAACTGTTCTCAAAAATTGCAACAGTTTAAATGGGTAAATTCAAGGCAGCATCAATGACAAAGTGATTACAGTCCTGGTTTAATTTAGATTTGATGCTGAAGGCAATAAATGTCACAAATGATGCAATTGGATTGTGGCAAGTAAGGGTGCAGCATATTCAATGAAGAAAGGTTGTATTTTATTGCATTTCGTGCAATGTCTAATTTGAATTTTTGGGATATTCGTTCAGATAATTTATGAATAAAACATCCTTTGCAAAAAGAGGCTAACATATCAACACTGTACTAACAGAAAAGAAAATCTTTAATTTCAATTTTTGAAAATAAAATATTCATTATGCTTGTCCTTGATACTGGAAAGAAACTGTTGATTCTTTTTGGATAATGCAGCTCCTTGCCTGTAAATTGGGAGTTCTCAGAAACCAAGAAGCTGATTGACAGCCCAAAGGCCACAGGCCCAACGGGAACGGAAGTAAAGAAACTACAATACCCATCATGCAATATCAAGCCGCGCAAACAACTTGCCGTTCAATTTTAAAATGTTTTTAATTTTGACAAATATCGTTCTCGGTTTGCCTTCAAAAGAATCATCTTTTATTTTTAATACATTATTTGTGGAGATATCTAATGTTACTGAAGATGTCCACGGGTCCGGAAGAAGTAGTCGCGCGGTGGAGAGTGACTTCCTTTCGCCTGGACAGTGCTTGAGGTAAGGACGTTATGGTGAGAGGTAAACGGTGACAATCCGACTCTAATCCCCTGTTCAAACAGCCATCCGGCTAATATTGTTCAACAAAGTTAGTCAGCGTCATGTCGGTGTTTCTGCTGAGAATGTATTTTATCGAATGTCCGGATATGTGGCAGTTTAAAATACATCTTCGATCGCGGGGCCTGTTGCCAGTAACATGGAGCCCCCGGGTGTGAAGACGCTGCATTTGGGGATAAGTAACAGCGATAAAGGTTTTAATCTTTTCCTGCCTTCCTGATTTGGTATATTTTGTACTAACACGGATTTGAGGTTAGGTTAGGTTAGGTTATTGCCAGTGGAAGAATTGAGAATAAATTGAATTCAGACTTGTTTTGTAAAGAAGCTGGCGAAGGAAATTATAAGATCATAAAACCATAAGATGTAGAATCAGGCCATTATTGCGTATCTTGTTAGTTTTTAAGTCTTTGCAATCTACAATCACGGGTTGTTATTCTGCTCTTTGTTTTCTTTAATACTGAGCTAGTATTTCTCTTTCCCGGGTCTTTTAGAAATGCCGTGAGTAGCTAAAAGCAACAGTTCCTCCTAGTGAAGGTTACTGCGGAGAAGTCAAACGACGTCCTCTTGCAGCAGTGAGTGTGCCATGACCTGAGATTTAAATGTCCAGCAGCATAGAAGCGTAGAAAATAGGAACAGGAGTAGGCCGTTCAGTCTGCTCCACCAACCAACGTGATCATGGCTGGTCTCATTTGATCCCTTTAGTGCTAAAAGCTATATTTACATCATTCTCAAAAGTCTTCAATGTTTTGCCCTCAACATCTTGCTGTGGCAGATAATTCCACAGGCTCACCGTTCTTTGGGTGAAGAATTTGTTTTCCCTCATCCAAGACCTAATCCTTATATTATGACCCCTGGTTCTGGACTCCCTGGTGGTCATCAGGAACATCCTTCCTGCATCCACCCTCTAATCTTTTAGAATTTTTAAAGGTTTCTATGAGGTCTCTCCTGATTCTTCTGAGCTCTGGTGAATATAGTCCGGTCTCTTCCCCATGTGTCAATCCTGTCATCACACAAATTAGTCTGGTAAACCTTCTTTGCACTCCCTTAATAGCCAGAACATTCTTACTCACATAAGGAGACCAAACTGCGCACACTGCTGCAGGTATGGTCTTAACAAAACATTCTTGCTCCTGTAGTTGAATCCTCTTGATGTGTAGATAAATGTAATTGGTGTCTTTGCCAGCTGCACTTGCATGATTACTTACAGTGCGATTTGTAAAAGATCTGGGAAAAAGAAATACGAGCTCAGTATTAAGAAAACAAAGAGCAGAATAACAACCTGTGATTGTAGATTTCAAAGACTTAAAAACTAACAAGAAAAGCCATAATGGCCTGATTCTACATCTTATGGTTTTATGATCATATAATTTCCTTCGCCAGCTTCTTTACAAAACAAGTGCCTGAGGACTCCCAGATCTCTTCTCCAATTTTACTGCCATTCAGATGAAAATCTGCCTCTTTGTTTTTGCTATCAAAGTGGACAACTTCACATTGTTACATATGATACTGCATCTGCCATATATTTACCCACTTACTTGTGTTATCCAAATAACCAAACATTTTGATAATACTGTAAAAGGATAGGCATTTGAGGTTAGGGTGCTAGCTAAATGATAGATTGCTATGGGTATATCAAAGAATGTGTTGAGGAGGGGACTACAGAATTTTGATGCCAGAGATGGTAAGTGATTGTCAGGTGTGGTTGGGCGTTCAGCTTAACATTGACGAGTAGTTGAACTAGGTTTTTATTCATCTAACTTTTCCTGGGGTAACCAACAGTGGAACTATATGAGTTTTCTGCCTCTGATAGATTCTTCTGGAGTGTCAAATGAACCATCGGAATCTTTAATTTCCTGGGCAGTTTCCATGGAGTCTGGGATTCCATATGGTTCTCATTTGCAACTCTAATTTGTGCTGTTCCATCAGAATATCTGGGCCATTTTTTTCTTATACCTGTAATTTTACATTTTACTGACTAATTTACTGGATGCAAAATTTCAATAGTTCTGAAATTTGTATACTATCCATGTTATTTTAACTTTTAGGATAGTTTTAGGAGGGGAAACATATTTAGACTGGATTTTTGTATTTACAGGCTGCATAATGGGTCGTGTAATTAGAGGTCAGAGAAAGGGTGCAGGCTCTGTCTTCAAAGCTCATGTGAAACACAGGAAAGGTCCTGCAAAGTTGAGAGCTGTGGATTTTGCTGAACGTCATGGTTATATTAAGGGTATCGTCAAGGTAAGTATTCATTTAAGAATGGAATTTTTTTAATATAGGGATTAAATAAATCACAGTAATACAGCACAGAAACAGATTCTTCAATCCAACTTGTCTACACTGATCAGATATCCTAAACGGATCTAGTCCCATTTCCCAGCATTTGACCCATATCTCTCTTGAACCCTTCCTATTCATGTACCCATCCTGGTGCCTTTCAAATGTTGTAATTGTACCCACCTCTCCCCACTTCCTCTGGCAGCTTCTTCCATACATGCATCGACCTCCGTTTCCTTTTTAAATCTTTCCCTTCTCATGTTTAAGGATTAAACAATAAACATTTCTCAAAATTCACAGCAGCTTAAATAGCTAAATTTATGGCAGTACTAATTATAACGTAATTAGATTTCTGGTTTACTTTGCAGGATATAATTCATGACCCTGGTCGTGGTGCTCCATTAGCAAAGGTGGTGTTCCGAGATCCTTACAGGTTCAAAAGGAGGACTGAGCTGTTCATTGCAGCAGAGGGTATTCACACCGGTCAGTTTATCTACTGTGGCAAGAAGGGTAAGATGTGTGAAATTATATAATTGATTTTTTTGATATATGTAAATATGAAATTTAGTGAATTTCAGCGGTCTTTTTAGGGATGGCAGCTGGTGCCTAGTGGGGTTCCACAGGGGTCAGTGTTGGGACCACAGCTATTCACATTATACACTAGTGATCTGGACAAAGGAATTGTTGCTCTGTTTGCAGATGACACAAGATATGTGGAAGGAGAGATAGTGTTGTGAAGCAGGAAGGCTGCAGAAGGACTTGGGCGTGCAAGGCGAGTGGGCAAAGTAGTGCCAGATGGAATGTAGTTTGGCAAAGTGAAGTTATAAATTTTAGCACGAAGAACAGATGCAAAGACTATTTTCTAAACGGGGCAAGGCTTTAGAAATCTGAAGTGCAAAGGGACCTGGCAGTCCTAGATCAGGATTCTCGTCACGTTAACCTGCAGGTTCAGTTGGCAGTAAGAAAGGCAAATGCAATGTTAGGATTCATTTCAAGAGGGTCGGAATACAGAAGCAGAGATATATCCCCTCAGATAAGGCTCTGTTCAGACCCTATTTGAAATATTGTGAGCAGTTTTGGACCTCATCTAAGGAAAGATGTGCAGATGTTGGAGGGAGTCCGGTGTAGGTTTAGAAGAATGATCTTGGGGATGAAGTGCTTGTCATATAAGGATCAGTTGAGGACTCTCTGGGTCTGTACTTGGAGTTTAGAAGGTTGAGGGAAGATGCTTCCACTCGTAGGAGAGACTCAGACCTGGGGCACAGACTCACTGTGAAAGGACGACCCTATAGAACTGAGATGGAGAGAAATTTCTTCAGCCAGGAAGTGATTTCTCTATGGAACTCATTACTACAGAGGGCTTTGGAGGCGTAGACATTGAATGTATTTAAGACAGTTTCTTGATTACAAGGGGGATCAAGGGTTATGGGGAAAGGCAGGAGAATGGAGTTGAGAAGCAAATCAGCCATGATTGAATGGCAGAATAGACTTGCTTGGCTGAATGTCCTGATTTTGCTCCTGTAGTTTAAGGTCTTATTATGGTTTTTGGTAAATAATTTAATCAAACAAACCAGATAGGTTCTGCATTAACTCTGGTCTTAGTTAGTTAGTTAGTTCCTGGAAAAGGTAACTATTGAAATAAAGTTATGAAGGATCCAAGTTCCAAAACTGTGATAGAAGCTTTTATTAAACATTTTGGGATGATGGTGCGATGTGGCAGCAACGCACATTTCAGATCAGGAAGGCAAAGGGGGGATATGAGATAACTGTGGCAAATAAGGTAAAAAAAATCCAAAAAGATTCTACAAGTACATTAAGAGCAAGAGAGCAACTAGAGAGAGAATAGGGCTCCTTTAAAAATCAGAGGTCATGTTGAACCTCAGGAGATGGGAGAGACTAAATAAATATTTTGTCAGTTTTTAATGTGAGAAAGAAACGGAGGCTAGAGAACTCAGGGAAATATTCACGTTTTGAAATTGGCTGACATTACATAAGAGGAAATGCTGGAGGTCTTAGAAAATTATAAAGTGGATAAATCTCTGAGACCTGATCTTGTGGATGCCAAGATGTTGTGGAAAGTTAGGAAAGAAATTTTGGGGCTCCTTGCAGAAATATTTGTACCATCTAAAACTATGGATGAAGTTCCAGATGAGTAGAGAATGGCTAATGTTTTACCTTTGTTTAAAAAGGGACGTAAGGAGAAGTCTGAACCAAGCCTGTGAGTGTGACTTAAACAGTGGGTAAATTGTTGGAGGTGATCCTGAAAAATAGGAGCTGTATGCATTGGGAAAGACCAGGAAAGATTAGGGATAGTCAGCATGGTTTTGTGAGAGGGAAATTGTCTCCCACCAACTTGATTGAGTTTTTTGACAAAGTAACCAAGAAGATTCAGAGCAGCATGATAGACGTTGTTTATTGGGACTTAAGTAGAGCCTTTGACAAAGTTTTGATTGGTAGACCAATTAGTAAAAGATAGATCGCATTGGTTTTAGGGTGAGCTTGCCAATTGGATACAAAATTGTCTTCCCAGCAAGAGATAGAGAATGATGGTAGAAGGTTATTTTTCACACTGGAGGCCTGTGACTGGTGGTGTTCAATGGATTGGTGTTGGATTCACTTTTGTTGATCATTTTATCTAAATGATTTTGATGAAAACTGGCATGGTTAGTAAGTTTGTGGATGACACCAAAATTGGTGGTAGAGTGCCCACTGAAGAAGGTTATCTAAGATTATAAAGAAATCTTGATTCATTAGGCTGAGGAGTGGCAGATAGAGTTTAATTTGGGTAAATATGAGATATTACATTTTTTGGTAAAACAAACAGGGCAGGACTTAGTTAAAAGTAGGGCCTTGGGTAGTGTTGTGGAACAGGCACCCTTGGGGTTCAGCTACATAATTCTTTGAAGTTTGCAACATGTATATACAGGGTGGTTATGAAGGTGTTTAGCATGCTTGCCTTCATTGCTAGGACCTTTTTGAATGTAGGAGTTGGGATATTATGTTGAGGTTGTACAGGATGTTGCTGAGGCCTGTTCTGGAGTAATGTCTAGTTCTGGTCGCCCTGTTATAGGAAGGATGTTATGAAGTCGGAGAGCGTTCAAAAGACACTTGGCAGGATGTTGCTGGGACTGGATGGTTTCATTTATAAGGAGAGGCTGGGACCTTTTTTTAACATTGGAACTTAGAGGAGGTTGAGAGGTGACCTTTATAGAAGTTTATAAAATAATGGGGGGTATAGGTAAGGCGAATGGCAGGTGTCTTTTCCTTAGGGTGGCAGATTTCAAAACCAGGGGACATATATTTAAGGTGAGAGGAGAAAGATTTAAAGACATGAGGAGCAATTTTCTTTTTACACAGAGGGTGGTTTATGTGTGGAATCAACTTCCAGAGGAAGTGGTGGATGCGGGTACAGATACGATGTTTAAAAGACATTTTGATAAGTACATGAATAAGCACTGTTTGGAGGGATATGGGCCAAGCGCAGGCAGGAGGGATTAGTTTTGTTTCGGATTACGGTCAGCATGGACTGGTTGGACTGTAGGGTTTGTTTCTGTGCTGTATGACTGTACGACTCTACGACTCTAAATTAGTTGTCCAGGCATGACGCTTGAATTTTCTGTCATCCCTATCTTGAGTATAATTCCAAGTGAAATAATGCATCTGTCCTGTTACCATTCTTCAATCCTTTATTACTTCAAAGTGATGCTGTAGTCCATTGGTGCTATCTTGACTGCCTCATGTCGCTTGTAGTTTTGAAGGTGCTTTTAAAAAAAGCTGGAAAGTGTTTTTTGGATAGTTGGAAAGATGAATGGGATTTCTACAAATAAACACTTGGGTGCTCTCTTTCCTCTCTCTCTTTGGGGCCATGGAGTCTACTTTTCAGTTGCCATAAAAACCTGGAGTGCCTGTCCCAGTGTTGCTGAACAGATGCTCTCCTGTCTACTTAGAACCTTGCTTCCAATTTTTTTCTTTATCTGTACATGCACCCCTCTTCCCAGTCTCATCATCTTCACACTTGTGGCTTTTTACATTAATGCATGTTTAATCTGGCTTCAGCAAGAAGCAGGGTGGTGTGGGAACACCATTACATTTTTTTTAAAAAGGGTTAAAACAACTAATCAATGATGCTGCCTTTTGCTTTTCCCTGATGCCCCCATTTCTGTAACTGTTTCCTAATTAATATAACTAAGCAGCATATATTGGAAAAATATTTGACAATCATACCAAAACAGTTGACTCAAACTTGCAAATTTTTCCTTGCTTGCAGCTCAGTTGAACATTGGAAATGTCCTTCCTGTGGGTACTATGCCAGAAGGCACCATTGTGTGTTGCCTGGAAGAGAAGCCAGGTGACCGTGGCAAACTTGCCCGTGCCTCTGGTAATTACGCCACAGTCATTTCCCACAATCTTGAGACTAAGAAAAGTCGTGTCAAGTTGCCATCCGGTTCTAAGAAAGTTGTTTCCTCCGCGAATCGAGCTATTGTTGGTAAGATTTACTTGTTTTGACAATTTTCACAAAGGTCTTCAAAAAATTCAGTTGACTGTTACGCAAAAAAAATTCAACTCCTTTGCAGTTTATTGCTTTTAACTTGAACTACATACACAACTAAGTAAAGGGAAGCACTTGGTTTAGACTTAAAATGTATTGTGTAAATATTTACACAAATAAAAATTAGTTCAAAATTGTTTAAACAGTGCTTTATCATTTATTATAGCTTGTGTGTGTTATAGTTAGTTGTTTGTCTAATTTAATCAAAAAAGTAATACATTGTTTCAGTATCTTGATATTTAGTTATGTAAGAGTTGGTACAATAAAAGTAATTGAATTTGGCAACACAATATTGAAACAATTGGATTTGTAACATAAGAATATTGGGTTACTGAAGCTGATTACAGTATAATTTTTGTATTGTGCTAGTTAAGTATTTACTTTGGTTTCAGGTGTTGTTGCTGGTGGTGGTCGTATTGATAAGCCCATACTGAAGGCGGGTCGGGCATATCACAAATACAAGGCTAAGAGAAACTGCTGGCCACGTGTTCGTGGTGTGGCTATGAATGTAAGTGATTGTTCATCTCCTGCTCTCCTTGCCTCATTCTTGGTAAACCGCAGACCACATAAATTCTCATGCTGGCACCTATGGAAACTGACACTGTCCCCTTTACTTGGATGCTGTTCTGTTTCCCTTTCAATTGTTACCACTCATCCAAAAAACACTCTCAACCTCAATATTCTTGGAAATTCCTGCTACCACTGTCTCCAGGCAATCGTTCTCCTAGGGGAAAGATCACAGATCACATCCACTTATCCTGGTGCTCAGGATTCGAATAACTGTTCTGATGAAGAGTCACTGGACTCAAAATGTTAACTCAGCATTATTCCCACAGATGCTGCAGAACTGCTGAGTTCATACAGCAATTCTGTTTTTGTTTCAGATTTCCAGGCTTGGCGGTTCTTTGTTTATTTGAATATCTCTCAGGTTTCTTATCCTCTCAAATACAGTCTTAATCCAAATCTCAAATCAACATTTGCTATTGTTCCTTGTCCATTTTGATTTTTCTAGTCTGATTTGGTCAACAACATCAGCTTCATGTAACAGTTCACTCCCTTGATCAAAATTATAATGTCGTCACTTTGTTCCCTCCAGCAAATCATCAGTGGTTCTCTTGCCACAGTACGGCCTCTGAAGCTTACAACAAGCTGTTCGTGGTTGCCTGACATTGCTCATTTACATTCTGTTCCATTGTAACAGCATCAGACATTGTCAGGTTCTACAAGAATGCCCATTCTTTGACAATCTCACATTAAAAATGACTGTTAGCAATGCCGTCCTGCCAAAAACTGCCGTTTCCCAAATTTGAACTGTTGTACTCCCAGACCCTTTGCTCAACTGATAGCAGCTGTGCCTTTTATGAGCTCTGCAGTCCCTTAAAACTTCCACTTCTCTATTCTCTTCAGCAAATTCAGAAGTATTGTTAAAAGCCTGCAATTTGAACCAAGATTTTAGCCATTCTTTTTATCCTTTTTGACTTGATGTCAAATTTGGTTTGATCATGCTGCATTGAAGTGCCTTTAAACATTTTTCTATGTTTAAGGTCTATATGAATGCAAATTTGTGTTAGTAACATGCTGATCTAAGGTAGTTTTGGATTATAATTTCTAAGAATTTTCCTTCAATTCACAATGTGTCCATTCACACACTAGCTGCTGCTTCAGATTTGACATGATCTGACATCTATTTCCATTTTCCCTAGTGCAGTCTAATTTTAAAAGTCCATGTATGCAAGCTTAAAGTAGTTTACCATTTATGACCAGATCTGGCCGGACCATGTAAATCATTGACGTAATTTGCTCTCATCAGCCAAAGTTGCTTACTGTTCCTGCATTATGATAGTTTGCAGCATCATATTTGTATTATGTTATCTTAAATCCATTCCCCTTTGGTCATAATAAGTTTTAAAAAAATTATAAAATACTGTCTGTAAGATTGCATCCCTTCCTTCCCCGAGCTTGTCAAGTCAAACTTCCTCTAAGGTTCCAGCACAGCCCAAAGTAGTTTTTAATGTTTTTAAGGAACTGGGTAAACTTGTTGCAGGTGCAACATTTAGAGTCTTCCAAATTCCCTTTGATTCAAGGTCAGAAATCACAGAACACCAGATTATAGTCCAGCAGGTTTATTTACAAGCTTTCAAATAAACCTGTTGGACTCTCACCTGGTGTTGTGTGATTTCTGATCTTGTCCACACATCATCCCTTTGATTCATGAAGTGTTTCTTTTTGCTTTTATAAAAAAAAGTGAATCTCACTATTTAATAAACATGATAAAGGGAAATCGGAGAATCTACTGATAACATCTCCGGAAATGTAGGTCCTACAACTGACAATTTGTTTACGGAACATCTTGAATTTGTAACTAATTGGGAAATTAGTTCCTGAAGGCATTTAGTGAAGTATGTCCTAAGAACCTTTAGCTAAAATTTACGGGATTGAGGGTTAATTATTGACCTGGATAAATACATTTTGACTGAGTGGCAGGAACCAAAGTAGGAATAATGGACAAATATTCTAATTGGCAAGATGTGATCAGTGATACCTTCCAAGAGTTAGTGTTGGATCCTCAACCTTTCATTATTATTAATAACAAAGCTGATGATACCCTTTTCCAATTTTGATGACACAAAAAATGCCAGTATTGTAAGCAGTGTGGAAAAAGCATTAAATTAGAAACAGTATCGATGGATTGTGAATCTGTGGCACTTACCTTCAGTGAACTGTAAGAGAGGTCTCTGATGTGGGGGCTGAAAAGAATAGAACAGGGAGTTTCTAAAGAGTGAAAATAGGTGCAGTGAGACTGGAGGTGGGTAAGTACAGAATATAAGGATGTAAAGTTACCATACTCCCAGAGGATGATAGGGCTGCTCTCCCATTAGAGAGACACAACTCATATATTACTTGAACTTGAGGGTCACCACACCCATGGCAAGGGGAGGGTTTGAGAGAGCGAGAGAGAGAGAGTCCTTCATGGTTAACTCAGCTGCTGTGAACCCAGTTCTAGACTTTCCCCTGCTATGAGGAACAGTCTGAGCCTATCCTGTCTTGTCTGAAGGATCAGGACTGCTGGACGTGGGGAATTCAAGCATCAAATGGCCTGATTTATTTCCATATTGATTTTTATATAATGGGCTTTACAGGACTTGTGGCATATGGGATTTGTTAAAACAAATATTTTCTTCCTCAGCCTGTAGAACATCCTTTTGGTGGTGGTAACCATCAGCACATCGGGAAGCCATCAACCATCAGAAGAGATGCTCCAGCTGGTCGCAAGGTTGGTCTCATTGCTGCTCGTCGTACCGGTAGACTGCGTGGTACCAAGACTGTCCAGGAAAAGGAGAACTAGTTTCTTCGTGTATTTACATAAATTTGGCACAATAAAAATTACTTTTTAAAAAAAAAAACTTAATTTGTGGCTGTTGCTCTTAATCTCTGGTAAATGTTGTTGGGCTGTTTGACTGCAGCTTCCCAGCAACAAGCTAGACAGGTGGACAGTAAACTTAGAATAGGGTGTAGTGACTGGCAAAACTGGAACTGTATTTTTGAGAGATTATTAAAAATAGCATGCTGATTTGGTTGTATGCAGTGGAGTAATTAGGGATTTGTACCACCATTTGCAAAGGCACTACGTAGTTTTACTCTAGAAAATAATCATGTAGGATTATATTTCACCCTTCACATCATGAGCTTACTAAGCTGGTGCAAAGTGAGAAATAGTGTGGAAACCCTGGGTTAATTCTGCAGTGAACCATCTTATAGTATGATAATAGTAATTGACAGAAATGGATCTCAAGTTTGTTGTGTATATGAAAATATATAGGTAGTAAGTTACAGTAAACTCTTCAAATACATCACTTGGTAAAAATTTGTCTTTGGAGTTGTATTTTCTCCATTTTTCCTTTCTGGTTGTGGCCTTATTCTCAGCCCAGACAGCAAACACAGGTGCAAGCCAAGGCCTCCTCAAATACTTCCATCAAATTTATGGGAGCCTGGCACATCAGTGCAAAATGTAAAGTTGAAATATTTGCAAAAATCTTCAGCTAGAAATACTGAGTGAATAACCCATCTTGGCCTCCACTGGAGCCCCCCCGCCCGATCACAGACGTCAGTCTTTAGCTGACTCGATTTAATTCACATCAAAAAATGATTGGAGGCACTGGATACTGCTAAGGCTATGAAGCCTGACAACATTCTAGCATTAGGACTAAAGATGGGTGCTCCAGAACTTGCCACACCCCTAACTAAGCTGTTTCAGTGTAGTTACACTTGCATCTACCTGACAGTGCGGATAATAGCCTAGGCACATCTTGTAGAAAAGAAGCAGGGAAAATCCAATCCAATTAACACCTATCACTATTCTCAGTCATCAGTAATGCTATCACGTAGCACCTGCACACTGACACAGTTTAGGTTTCACCAGGGCTGATCAACCCATGACCTTATTACAAAACACACATGGACAAAAATTCCAGAGGTGAGTGCCTTCAAATCACTGCTTCATTTGAGTGTGCCATCAATAGCACCACTGTTGTTTATGGGGATTCACAGCATATTTAACAACATGGGTGGATGGGGGTGTTCAGAAGAATGAAGGTAGAAGGTTCCTCTGGTGGTAGGGACGGCTAATCCAGAGCCTTGAAAGAATGTTCAATTAAATGTTCAAATGCACTACACTAGCTGGGGAAAATAAATTTAGCTAACTTGCAGTGAATCGGGAAATAAAAAGCAAATCCTGGTAACAGCAATCACAAAAATACCAAACTATTGTAAAACCCACCTGGCTCACTAAGGAAATTGGTCATTCTTCCCAATCTGACCTGTATGCAAATCCAGACCATCAAAAAAATTGCTACAGATGAGTCAACTTAAAAAAAAATGGGACAGACCCCCTGGCATGAAGACAGGAAACAGCAAAAGGATTAGTCAGGCCTGGAAAAACCCAAGCTTTGACAAAATGTAGTCAGCAATAGACAATTTCTGTATGACCAAATGACTTTTGTTCTTGCGATTTGGCTGGTGCTGACAAGACTAGCATTTATTATGCATCCCTTACAGCCTTTGAGAAGGTTGTGATGATGTATGGTATTCTGCAGTTGATGAGTGTTAGGGAGGGAGTGCCTGTATTTTGAAGCAATTAGAACATAGATCTAAATCAAGGTGGTGAATAACTTAGAAAGCCTATTGTTGGTGGCATCCCTATGCAGCTTCTGCCTCAGTCCCAGCTGGCATAGTTTGCAGGTTTAGAAACTGCTGTCAAAGGAGTCACAGTGAATTGCTGCAGTGTATTTTCATTCCTTCCATCAACAATGCACAGTGCATACTACAGACAAGATTGGGAGTAACTGTTTTCAACCCTTGTTCCAAATTCAGTTCCCTAATTACTGACTACATCCCTCTCCCTAGAAGCAGCGAGATTATACTAGTGTGTTCACAATTTTGGTGTCACATTTGACCCAAAGATGAATTTTCAACCTCATTTCACACCATCACTGAAGACACTTTTTGTCATTTCCAGCATATTGCCGGACTTCATCCATGTATCAGTGCAACTGTTACTGCAATCCCCATTCATGTAAAATTCCTCAACATGATTATTTCACTGCACCACATTCTACCCCTCATAAATTTGAGGTCATCTAAAACACTGCAGTTCATGCTTTAATTTGCACCAGATACCATTCACTTATTGACCCTGTACTTACTGAGCAACAGTGGCATCCAGTCAAGTAGAATTTTGATTTTAAAGTTGTCATCCTTCAATTCCCTCTGTGGCCTTGCCCCATACATCTCTGTAATGGCCAGTACTTAAATTTGTTCGACTTAAGCAACTGTAATATTGAATTATCACAGACAACACTACCTCTCTGTTGTGTTTTCTTTAAGACCTCCCCCATCTCCTGTCATGGTTTTGTTATATTTTGATTTTTCATGCTGTTGTGAAACAACCTCGTTCATTTTATGATGCTCAAGATATTGTATAAATGTAAGTTGATGTGGTTCCCTAAACATTTTGCTACAACTTACAAGGTGGCACAATGGTCAGCACTGCTGCCTCACAGCGCTAGGAACTCTGTTTCGAATGACTGTGTGGAGTGCGCAGTTTCCCAATGTCTGCATGGGTTTGCTCTCACAGAGCAAAGATGTGAATGTTAGGTGGATCGGCAATGCTAAATTACCCATACTGTCCATGGCTGTGCAGATTAGGTGGATTAGACACGGTAAATGCAGGATTAGTATAGAGGGGGGTATGGTCTAAGAGCTGGTGCAGACTTCTGCAGAGTAGGGATTTAGAAATTAATCCACCTGATATACTTCATTTCCCTGAATCAGATCCAACAATACCTCCATCCTTATTCAACTTGTGTTTATAAATTCCCTGATAATGCATTCCTCTATATCTTTCTCACAGTGCTCTTTGGTGCAGTGTTAATGTCCTCTGTCTGAGTCAGAAGTTCCAGATTTAAGCTTTACTCCATGAAAACAGTTTGAGTATCAACTTATAAATCCTTAAAAAACATGGTAATATTACAGTAAGAAAAGGAAAGATTTCTGCATAGCCTCTATCATTAATATCCATAGCTCCAAAAGTGTATGTTGACTACAGTAACCTGGGCTTTTTTTTCATTACCACAATGGTAGCGAATATTTAACATTTAATTATACACAGTAAGACAACAGGACTTCACTTTCAAAGATGGTGAGCTGATCTTCCTCTCAGTACTGTTATAAATAGATCATCTGCAGTAGGTAGATTGGTGAGGGTCAGGTCAACTAAGTTATACCCCTACTTACTGTTTCACATATCATCTACAGAAAGCCCAGTCTACCAGCTATGTCCCTCAGGACTGACCACCAGTTCATGAGGCAGCAATAATAGAGAACTTTGCCAAACCTAGATGTTGTCCAGGTCTTGCTGCACTTGGACACAGGCTGGTTTAGCACGAGGAGTCATGAATGGTAAACATTGTGCAATCATCCCCACTTATGACCTTACAATGGATGAAAGATCATTATTGAAGCAGCTCAAAGTGGTTGGGCACCCTGCAGCTAAGATATTTTGACCTCCAACAACTACAGCAGTCTTCCTATGTGCTCAGTACAATGCCAACCAAAAACTTCTTCCTTCAGTAGCAATTGGGTTCAGTTTTTCTAGGGCTCCCTGATACCAAGGGCACTCACTCCCTCACCTCGAGTTCAGCCTTTTCTGTCCATGTTTGGACTCAAACTGTCATGAGCTCAGTGGTGTTAGTCGAATCTAATCTGAACTACTCCTTTGCAAATGCCGCTTGAAAGCTGTTCATGATCCCTTTCATCATATTGACAATTGAGAGCAGACTAATCTAGCAATGATTTGCTGGGTTGGATCTATCCTGTTTTTTTTGAACAGGGAAAACAGGTAATTTTCCACATTGCGGGGTAACTGTAATGAAACAGCATGGCTAGGGCTGCAGTTAGATCTGGAGCATATCTTCAAGACCATTACTGGAATATTGTCAGAGCTCATAGCTTTTTAAGTAATCAGTTTCTTGATATCACATAGAATGTATTGAATTGCCTAAGTATCACATCTGGGGTGTTGGGGACTTCAGGAGGAGACTGCTTCTGCTGTTTGGATGCAAGTAGCCTTGTGTTGTAGCTTCATGAGGTTGACACCTAATTTTTAGGTTCACCTGTTCACGCTTCTGATATGCTCTCTGCAATCTTCTGGCTTGATGGTAATGGTAAAATGGGAGATGCTGGGCAGTGAAGTTATTAATTGTTATTGAACACAATTTGGCTGATTGCCCACTTCATGAATGCTCAGGTTTGAGTTGCTAGATATGTATGGTCTGTTCCATTTAAAACAATGATAGTCCCACACAACATGATGCTGCATAAGGATTGTGTGGTGGTCATATGTGCCAATACATCTTTGACAGGTAAGTTTAGATTAGTACAGGTGAGGCCAAATAGGCCCTTCCATCTTGTTGGTTCCCTCACAAACTGCCACAGACCCAATCTAGTAGCGATGTCCTTTCAACCAGCTTAATTAATAACACTACTACCAAGCCACTTGATGGTAGACACTGAAGTTCCCACTCAAAATACACTGTGCTCTTGACATCCTCAATCCTTCCTCCAAATTTGTTCATCACAGACCAGTACATATCAGCAGCTCATGGAGGGGTGGTAGTTGGTAGCCGGTAGCCAGATCTTTGCTAGCCTATGTGATAAGATGTCAGGTGACTTCATGGGGTCACAAATCAAAGTTGAGGACTCCCAGGGAAACTCCTTCTCAACTGTATACTACTGCACTGCCATGTCTGATGGAACTATCCCGCCAGTAGGAAAGGACATACCCAGAGGTGGGAATGGTGGTATAGAGGACATAACAGACAGTGAGCATGACTATATTGCAGTTACG